GAAATTGTTAAAGAAACATCAGTATTTGAGATTGCTTGTCCTATGTGCAAAAAGATGTTAGAACTTAAAAATGAATTAGAAATAACAAATAATAAAACATGTAAATGTTCATGTATTCCAACAAGTTTCAAAATAAGTAAAAATGATAAGAAAATGAGTATTGATAAAACTAAAGACAGTATCAACTTAGAAACTGATGTCCATAGTATAACTTTTAAATTTGGTAGGCAAGCAACACCAACCGATAATAATGAAAACGAAACTCAGGAAACTGTTAAACAAATCATGAAAAATTAGTATTTAAAGAGTAGATTTAACATAATTGCACTTTATAAATATAAATAAATAAATATATAAATAAATATCTAATTATTTATATAATCATAATGCCAACTATGAATGGACAAGACCATAGAATTATAACTTTTGACGATGAAGAAATTAATGATATATTCGATGGTGATAAAAACTTTGCTAGGCAATTGAGTATAGAATATTTTTATTGGTTAGATGCTAAATTTAACAATAAATATTTTATGAAAGGCATAACTAAACCAGATAAATTTGATAAAATGTTGAAGTTTTTTGAAATTACAGGTAACGATGAAGGTTTAATACAATTGAAAAATAAAATTGGTGAAAGACTCTTAGAATATAATTTATTTACATATATAACATTAAATTATTCAGGTAAATTATATAATAAAACGTATAATTAAATAAATAATTATCTAAATAAATATATAGTAATGTCTGAAAATGAGAATTACACTATTAATGATTTAATGAAGAAGATAACATTAATTGGTAAAAATATTAAAACCTTAAATGATATGATTAAATCCATTGATGACAAAATGAAACCAGTTGAACGCAATGAAGATAAAGAAAAAATCGAAAAGATATTTCAAGCAAAATCTATAGGAAGACCATCGGGCGACTACCCGACAAAGCAAAAGAAATACTGTGATATGTTGAATACAGGAAAAATCAAACAACCTAAAAGCACCACTTTAGAATTTTACAAAATTTCAAAAAATGATGATGGAGTATATGTATTATTTGAATAAATAATATCTAAATAATTCTAATAAATGAATTTATTAGAATTATTTAGCAAGAAGACCTATACAAAATACCTAGCGAATTAATTTGTGAAATCTTAGTGAGTTTGACGGAATAAGGATTAACATAGCTTGATTTTTGGATTAACATAGCTTGATTTTTGGATTAACATAGCTTGATTTTTGGATTAACATAGCTTGATTTTTGGATTAACATAGCTTGATTTTTGGATTAACATAGCTTGATTTTTGGATTAACATAGCTTGATTTTTGGATTAACATGGCTTGATTTTTGGATTAACATGGCTTGATTTTTGGATTAACATGGCTTGTGAAATGTGGTGCTATAATTCTTAATCATACTATAATAATAACATTTATACCCTTATATGTTATAATTATAATGTAAAATGACTTAAAGGAATAAAGACTTAATATAATAAGAGGAAAATGCCAATGCTAGGAGTGACAGAAAAAGAGCTGGAACAGGATAGAAAGATAATATTGAGTTTCATTAAGGATAATCCCTATCCATCGTATAAACAAGTCATTGAAATAATTAAAAACGATAAAACAATGAAAGATATATATCCAGATATGTTCGCTGAGTATGGAGAACAAAATCATCAATGGATAAAAGAGATCTACGAAAACATAATGAAAGAAGAACTCGTTAAACGGAATGGTAATAGTATTAATGAAAGAGGAGGAATGACAACAATGCATTGCAATTATTATACTTTGGTATCAGTGTTGCGTTATTTAATACAACAAAGAGCACCAATGAAAGATTATGACGTTAGCTTAATCTGGTATAATATCAGAAACATCTTGAGCAGTTCTTGGAACAACATAGGAGACTGGAAACACTAAAAACAGGTTTAATCATACTATGATTATCACATGTAAACTATTATATGTTATAATTGTAATATATTTATCGTTTGTAAAGATTGAATTATTATAATTTGCTTATCTCTTTCAAAGTGCGTTGTTTAGACTTGGCATGCTTCTTCAATTTGTTCGTGCTTTGGCTGTTTGTTTTTGTTTTGTTTGATACTCTTATGATATTTTTTGTTGGTATGTTGCTTTGTTTTTTGTTGATGTGTGTTTTTGAGTTTGGGTTCTTTGATGATTTAGAGTGTTGCTGTTTTGTTGGTATGCTTGTTTGAATTATTTAATGTTGCATGCTGTGATTAAATATTTTTGTTGCTGGTTGTGATTATTTATTTTGTTTGCTTGTTGTTCTGGATTTTGTTTTCTGTTTGTTGTGTTGCTGTTGGAAAAAAAATAGTAGAAAGAAGAATTCTTTGAATTCTCCTTTTACTATTTTTTCCCCCCCCCTCCGGATCGCAACAACCAGAGCGCTCCGTTGGGCGCCAGCAGCGCGCTCAGCCGCCGCAAGCCCGCGCAGGGGTCCGGCAGGTGGTGCCTCGCGGGGGATGAAGCCGTGGCTTCGTTGGTTCCCGTTTCGGTGGTTTTGAAGGGAAACGCCACAGGGAACACCCGCCATGTGGAGGGAAAACCCGCCATTTGGGGTTCCCTCAAAGCCAAAACAAATCAAAGGGGAACAAAACAACCCACAGATTTGGGGGAGTTCCCCTAAAGCCAAAAGGATTTAGGGGGGGTTTCCCCTGAAGCCAAAAGTAAAAAAAAAGCAAAAAAATGATTTGGGCTACTTTGATACATACCCAATTGACTGGCCAGAAGTTCTTGGGAGGTCCCTAACCTGATGCCCTAACGCCACCTCAAACGAATGCTAGGCCTTTACGTGACTTTTGTTCGAATACATGTGGTTCTAGCGACGCATCTCTAAGGCACCCTAGCTTAGCGAGCGCATTACCACTGCCATGCTCAGAATAGCCAAGGCCCGTAAGGAACTGTAAGAAACAACGTTGCAAACGAAGAGACTGTCATTCAACACGTTGACAAGGGGCATTCATGTACAATTTCAATAGGAACCGTTTGGTGGGCAGTATTTTGGTGGGGATTCATGTTCACCAACGGATTGTGTGTGTGTGTGTGGTTTCTTCGATTCTCCAGGAAAATCACACATCTCGCTGGAAATGGGCAAATTGGTTAAATTACCCAATCCGTGCGTTCACCCAATCCGAAACCGTTGGCACACCACGACACTGATGCTGATCACATCTCAAGGGCAACCAAAAGGAGGATTGCCAGGTCTCTTTCGGCAAATCACCCGACGAGGAGGACAGTGGTGTCAAGGACCCAATCGTACTGTTTTTCAGCGAGCCTCCAGCTCGTAGTGTTTTGCAAAGACCTTTGCCTCACTGTTTGCTGTTGCGTTCTGACCTCAATGTTTGGTGGACTAGTTACTACAAAAGAGTCGCAATCAACACCTGGTACTCAAGTGCAGTCAAACCCATGCACGGAACAAAAAGGGAGGATATTCTCTTAAGCTTCACTGTCCCAGGCTTTGGACTCTAGTTACTACAAATGTGAGATCTCAAAGGGTCGAACTCCGTCCAGTATCATTCATCTCCGAAGGGAGAGACTGCCTTCATGGTGGACCCCAACCCACCAAAAAGGAGAACGGGCAGGAAGAACATTGACGTACCTTGTGGTGGTTCAAGCTCGAATCCAAAACATAGTTGAACAGGGAGATGGTGGACAATCGGCCCCTTGTGATGCCAAACCCAGGGAGTGAGCCAAAACGGTGGGTGTAGGAGTAAACAAATGGCCAAAGGACCCTTGTACTCCGGTTCTATCCGTACCCTCCTGATTCTGAAAAAGCGATCCTTCTCTGCCAAAAATAGCCCACCTCGTGGACATGAGTCGTTTCTGAACTGAAGGATTAATGAAGAGAGTGGGAGACCAACCTTGTGTGCATGTGTTTTGAGTTGGTAAAGCCTCTTCTTTGCTCTTTTAGTTTGATTTTCTCCTGGGGGAGGAGTGGGGGGTAAAGGGACACCACATGAACTCATCCCATAGAAAGGTTGGCTACAAAAGCCCACGCGTGAAGCGTCCGAGCTCTTCCGCCAAGTCGCAGCACTCCGCAGCAGATCACCAGGTGAAAGCCATTGCCAACCAACGGGTTCCCTGGCGAAGTTCGGGCCTCCAAACCCTAGGTCCTCCAGAGAGGTTAGAATAAGGGCACCTTTTTGTTCTGTAGTCTGTTTTAGTAGGGGAACCCTCCCCAAAAAAAGGGTAAAAGAGCACTACTGGGAGACCTAGCCTTAGTGACTCGCTGATTTCCGATGCTTAGAAGTTGGAGAATGCATTTCGATACAACATCTACGCGCGTAACATCACCAAGTTTCAGGACTCTGATGTTTATACTTGATTAAATTGGTATTTAGAAAATCCAAGCAATAGGCAACCGATTTCTGCGTGTATTAGTTTTCGCTTTTGCAACACAAGCGAAACCTCATAAATACACAAGCAAGGGTCCAAGCCACCAACCATGGCTAAACCTTTTGGAATTCTGAAACACCACAGCATTCTAAAAATTAAAGGCTTCGACTGGGTTCCAACTGTGACGGGTGGAAAAAAACAAACACCACAGCCTTCCAAATTTCAAAATCTTCGACTGGGTTGGAAGCCGTAACCATGGCGGGTGTTGAACACATGTGGCGGGCCATTGGGAGCCCAGGACCCGCCGCCTTCAAGAGGAGAAGCCGACCATTGCGGTCGAAACGTACTCCAAATCCGGTCAAAGGATCTGCGCAAAGAGGGGAACGCAAAAGCTTGGTTGACGATAGAAGGGGAGCACAAAAATATTTTTCAGCAGTTACGTGGGGATTTCCCACTAAACCACAATAAGCAAAAATGTAAAATGTTTCCCAACAACAACCATGAAAGGGCGACAAAAGCACATGTCAGTGGCAAGCATTGATCTGCGCAGGTTTTGCTTGTGGCAAACCAAGGAACCAAACTTACAGCACTGTCCCAGATCCTTCTTTCCAACAAGTTCTTTAGCGACCTTGGCTAGGCACGGATTCAAAGTAGAATGCTCTCGGAACTGGATAAAAGCATCAACATGTTTTGTAGCCTATGCCATAGAACCCACTTGCACAGAGGACGTAAAGTCCCGGCCCAACGATGGCACAGTTGGGGGCGTTCGCTTTCCCATGTGGCTGCGTGTCGTGACCATTTCTGGGCCGCTTGCACAAAGGGAACTATGACGCTCGCGTTGCTCCCGTTGACCATCTTCCTGTTGGTGTCCCTTTAAATCCATATACCCTCAAATGGGTATAAAAGACCCCCAATCAATCAATGCTGTTGGATTCTCTTTAAAAAGGGGGGTCAACTAGGTCTCCTAGAAGAGGCCCCGGCTCCGTCTCTTTCCCTCTCTCTCTCTCTATCCGCGCCTGGTGTGAGGTCCATAATGTCCCCCACCAGGAAGCGGATGCGCGCCTCGGGTTGGCTGCCGATGGTCATGGGGAAAAAAACGAAGGCTTGTGGGGTAAGGGAAAGAAGTAGTTTGTTTATTTTGTTTTATTGTTTGTTTCCTATATACAGGTTGGGAAATGTTATACCTTATTATATGTATAGGTAATTGTGTTCACCTGTATCAAATTATGTTGTCTTGAATATATCTGTGCATGCCCCGTTTATCTAATAATATGTAATTCATTGTATTCACCTGTATTTAACGGTATCAATTGTGAATTGAATCTCTTTGCGTATGCCCCTTATACGTCGCATAAACAACTTGGCACCCAAACTTTGGTAGGACAACTTGCTCGGAAGTAAACAACACGCACCGCTGGACTAATTGTCCGATGACCAGTAAACAAGAGGGCGGAACGGCCGCACCTGTGTACTCGTTGGTGTGTGGTTGGTAATCAAACTGCACCTCCAACGTCTCCCACCACAAGCGAAGCCCCTCTTACAAGGACCCCCCGCCCCCGCAATTCAATCACCTACATGTTTGTTCACTTATGGCTTTATTCAAAATTGGGGCACCACGCCTTTTACCAACTACGTGTTCGTGATCATTGCCCGTGAATCAGGATCCTTCCAATTCTCAAGCCTCGAGCACCCGGAAAAAGAAGAGGCCGCCATTACACCATGAACGGTTGGCACAACTTCAGAACTCGGTTGCTTCTGCTCCCCTGCTAAAAGTTTAACTTTTAGTGGTTTCATGGAAAACCCATTAGTTGGCAAAAAGTTAAAGTCCTAACATCCAAGCAACATGCACCAGAGGTCCTCTCTTTGGTCAAGTAAAGGGGATGGCTAAACCCTGAGCCCGAGGAAGTGGCGCCGATTCCCCAGTTGACGACTGCCAAGGCGCATACTCCTCCGGCGCCAAATGCTGCTTCAGCTTGCGGCAAGCCACGGCGACGGTCTGGCAGCGTTTGCACGCGCAGGGCGCGCTAGAATTCCCCCCAACATCGACGGCCTCGTTCTTTTTCCATCATCGCAGTCACCCAACCATTTAGTTTGCAGGCCTGAAAATCCCCCGGAAGCAGCCTGAAGATCCCCCAGAAGCAGCTAAAACGATGATCCCAAATGAACGCCCGACAACAGTTCTGCCAGAGACCCGGTAGCGGACTACCTGAAGTCGAGACCATCAACCTGCAAAACAAATAGAGGCCTTCCCGGAGAGCCCATAATCTAAAAGAGGGCTGCATTTGTCAAAGTATGAGCAACAGTCAATATTGGGGTATGGGTCAAAATTAAACCACCATGGGACCACAGGTTTCATCCATGTTTCAATTTACCAGGGTTCCCATTTTGGGTACATATTTTTTGACCCACAGCCATATTTCCCAACCAGGCGGAGGGGCCCTTTCTGCGGCGCTGGTTTGGTGGCGTGTGTCCCATGCGAGAACTCATGGTGAGTGATATGTGTTCTGGGCTGTCCTCCAAGCCCCTGCTAAAGCTGTACCTTTTAGCGGGGTAAATGGAAATCCCCACTAAATCCTTTTTAACAAAATCTGAGAGGATTACTGGGAACCACCAAGTGGTTCACCACTCGGTTGCCTCGCTCTTGCTTGCATCTGCTCGGGTGCGTTCGAGAGTGCCCATTCCAGTACAGCCCAGGCAGCGCAACACAGCAAGCCAGAAGATATGAATGTCTGACAATATCACCACAAGCAACCGATACCAAAAACCGGCACTCAACCATTTTCCACCTGCACAAGCGGTAGGAAATGGACAGCGCAACACCAATACACTGGTAAGCTAAACTTGACTGCCTCAGTGGATCCCAGCTAAGCAACTTCCCTGTGATTCTAACGGGTGGTTCTCCATAAGGACCCAGAAATACAAGACTAACCTTTGGGCGATTTGCATTGGTTGCCACAGTACTAAGACTGCTGTCTTGGTTACCTACATCAGTGTCCTCTTGGTGAATTAGATGCGTTTCCCTGGTAGATGGGTTATAAAGCCCATCTAAGCCAGTGGAGCCCATCTATTTCTACCCAAACTAACTAAAATAGATGGGTTTCCCCGGTAGACGGAACAAATCGAATCTACTAAACCGGTGGAACCCATCTAATTCTAACCCCACCATCTCAAACTTACCCAAAAAAGGAAGCCCATGATTAGCTACCGCACATATCCCCAAATGGCTGTGGGTCAAAATGAATCCGCCAGAAAACCGAAAATCTTAGTCCATGGTTCCTTCTACCAGGGCAAGCCATTTTGGGGTTAGCCTATTTTTGACCCACCAACTTATCCCCAAATTATCTCCAAAGCGCCGCAGGCCTTGGGCGAGACGTCGAGCGCCACCAGCTCGCAGACTTCATAGCTCCTCAGCTCCACTGCCACCTGGTGGCCTGAGTTGCAACGCCCACGAATTCGGGTCGATAAAAGTGAAAACCAGAACCTCACTCCCAAGTGGACTGGCCAAAAGGTTTTAACCCAGAAGTTTATGAAGTTTATGTTACCAGTAACAATGTGTGTCCAAAAATATTACAGACAAGCCTGAAACAAAAAAAAACACCTGGAAACACGTGTTTCCAAAAAGCTTAAGGTCAATGACTCAGGGAGTTCGGAGGGCAACCCACCTGTTGACCTCGGGGCTTCATGAAAATCCCATGCAACAACCTAAAGTCTTGAGGGGCATGAATCCTTCTAATCTGTACAAGTCGAAAGGGCCAAGGGGTATGGCTGGGAAACGCCAAGTCCATCATGTTGGAAGCATCGCTGAGCCGTTGGACCGAAAGGCTTAGAAACCAATGGCCACCATGTCTGAACGCCATGCGAGCAAACTGACAGAGTGGTTGCGTCGGGCGTATGCTCGAACATCAGGGTGCTTGGTCTGTCCCAACTTCAGTACCACGGAACTCCGATGCGGAAAGAAACAAATTGGCAACCTGCTCTGGTTGCTTGCTTTTAAAGAGACTCCCCTCGCAAAGAAAAACAGGAAACAGGTGCCACTGGAAGAGGCCTGCGTGAAGTGGTGTGGCTGAGATCATCTCCCCTTAAGGCTCCCCTTCGCCCAGACATCCAACATAGCATTTGGCTGGACCTTGAGTTGATGGCCAAGCAAAACAAGCTCAACTCAAGACCCCAAATGGAACTGCAGCTCAAGGCCATTGGCAAATCAGCAAAACTAAGAGCCACCCTGACGACTCAGTGACTCCTCAGCAGGAACCAGTGAGGGCATTGCCCACTGCGTCTGGCTCCTGAACCCAGCTTGCCGCATGAGTCGCCTGAATTCGAACTCGTCTTCAATCGGGTCTTGCTCCGAGTCCTCTTTCGCTCTGCAGGCCCACATGGTGAGAACGACAGAGTGATGAACACTGCCAGGCGAGTCAGTCAGTTCGAGCTCATCCCTTTTGATTCCACCCGCACACTGAGTTGAGTCGCTGGCATGGCACCTAAGCCTGGCTCAAGCCAAGACACGCGCGCCTGTTTCACAGCTATCCTGGAACCTCCTTTCGTGTACCACATCTTGGAACGTCCAATAATCACTAAGGCTTTGCCATGTGTAGGGTTTTAAGAGCTTCCCTCACAAAATTTGCAGTATGTAAGGTGCCCTGTGTTATATGACCACAGCTCAAGCTAATTAGTTTGCCCCCCCCCCCCGCTCAAGGTGTTGTGCAGACTATCAACGATAGATAATGCCATACCTGCTCCAACGTCTGCTTTTCCTCGACGTTCAATGCCCTCAATCACTGTCCAAACTATCTCCCCTTTAGGTGTTGAAGATGAAATCGACAGACTGGGTGTTGGCGCATACTCTTGGATTCCGTTAGGTGGTTGCATGTCCGCCCCAAAGGATCGTTGGAGTCCCAGTTCGGGTACCTTCAGCCTTTCTCACGGAGGGGCCTTCCAATTTGTATTAGAAGCAAGTTTAACCCAAGGAAAGGCTATGTTCTGAACATAAGCCAACATTCAAGACAAACACCTGGCCTGTAGAGTTGGCCCGATTCTAAGTTTAAAAAAAACAAAACTTGAGGTGCGCTCATGCGAACTGAACAAGAAGAGCAAACTAAGAGTGCCCACTTGGCAAACCTTTCGGCATTCAACCTCCCTCCTTCAACCATAACAGGAGGGAAGCATATCACCATTCTTCTACCATAGCCCAAAAAAAGACCCTAAACCCTAAGCATGAAGGATTGTTGAGTAACAACACCGCTTTTCCTTAAACCAACGACCCCGGGTCCCGCGCCGGAGCCGCAGCCGGCCACCAAAATCCGGGGGGAGGTCACCTGCTCATTGGCCCAAGGTTTGGACCGGATGCCCAAATGAGTGGATTTCCATGGGTAAAAAAGGAAATCGGCATCCGATTTTTGTTGGCTTGGTTGACTGTAAAGGGAAACCCTCCCCAAAAAGAAAAGGAGAAAAAGGGGGCACCACGGGGCAACTGGGCTTGGATAACTATGGACCAATGTCGGCATGGATGAACATGTCGCCATGTCTCACAGGACTAATTCTGGCATCTTGTTAAAAGTAGAAAGTAAAGGAACAACTAGTCCTTTTAAACATCGCTTTCCAGAAGGAAACAATTAGTCCTGTAGAAAGAACATCGCTTTCCAGGAACCCGAGACGTCAGATCCGATGTAGGTTCCCTTTCCTCAGGCCCGGCCCGGCATCCTCCCGAGGGAGGCTTGGAAGCTGAAAGCAAGGGAAAAACCGGCGGTCCGGCAGTGGACCCGCCCCCCCTTTAAAGAGGCACCTACAGGTGCCACATTAAAAACTCCAAATTTATGCAGGTCATGGTCATGGTACCCTCAGTAGGAACCCTCACAACAGTTGTCTAGAATACCCATTGACGGGTCGGACCATCCCTAACCCCAAGAGGTCGTTTGATCATGGCACACATTTGCTTGGTTGACGTTGGAAAGGGAGCAAAAATTGAAAATTTAGCAGTTAAGTGCTTGGATTTCCACCACTAAACCAAAATACGCAAACATTAACAAAAAATAAAATAAAAATCCCAACAACAACCATGGTAAGTGGCTGACCTGGGCCCTGTTGGTAGCAAGGCTGCCTTGCTCATAGAAGGCCGATTGATCATGGCACACATTGGGCCCTTCCTTGCCCACGGAGTTCATTCCCCGAGCTCGCTCCTTGTTTCCAGCGCCTCCTCACCGCACCAGCTCGGGCACAGGCGCCGCAGGTGCTCGTGCAAGGGCGCCTCAAGGGCTCCTCTGAGGTTTGATTCTCCGCACCCAAAGGGGGATATCACCTCTCGAGTGGATGGGACAAAGTCTTGTTCGCCACAATGGTCTTTCCAAAAAGCTCGAGGAATTCGAGTCAGGGAATGATCAAACTGGGGATACATGGAAGCGACGTTTCAAGGGTACTCCTGCCCCTTGTTCGTGGAAAAGCATGTGATACCAAGGAAAAGTGGCCCGTGCCTCTGACTACTTCATATGGTTTAACCGCTGCTGGGCAAGGATCACGTGGGTTGGTCTGAACCCCAAGGCTGCACCATGAGGCGAATGCAACGTAATCATTGACAAGCTTTTGTCATGAATCTGACAAATGGGGAGCTGTCAGTCAAACAACATTGCCCCTTGCTCGATTCCAGATCCGACCTGCGCCTTTTAAAAGGGGACACCAACAAAGGGGCCGTAACCTTGACAACGATCCAAATGACAAAACACACCAGGGAAACGCAAATGACACGATTCGATTTGTCTCCGGAATCGGGATGAAGCAACCTACGAGAGGGTAATGCCCCCAGCTGCAAGTCCAAAAGCTCCCCAAGCAAGTTGATCGCCATAGATGAATGACAGTTACGTGTTCATGTAATCCTTGGATCCCTCAAACTCAAACCATTGTTAATTAACTATATGGCCATGGGTCAAAATCCAAATCGTACCTTCAGTGAACATCCCAATCCAACCACTAAAATAGACTGAAATGGGTGGTGCACCTACCCCAAAATGGTACCATTGGTCTTGACCCACCCCCATATGTTACTATCCTCTGCCAACTGCAAGGGTACATAAAACCACGCTCTGGAAGCATTGCTACGTGGATGCCTACGCGAGTGTGAAAACACTCGCGTGCGGACCGATTTCGTCAAAATGCGCCTATGCGCACCTTTTCGCGAGCTACAACACGTAGCCTCTAACCATCTTATGGTTGAGCGACCTCGACCATAATTTAGACCGCCTTTGGAAGACCAGGGAACACGTGTGATCACTTCGGCATACCCGAAGTGTGATATTTGAAGTAATTAGGGGGTATCCAAACATATCGTCTACCTAGACCATACTGAAGGCGTTTGGAAGGCCAAAATATACATATATATATATATATATACAGTATGTTTATTCAGTGTTTGCGGCAACACATAGTAATATTGCCTGTTTGACACGTGATCTGGATGAGTTCTAACAGCAGTTCAACCGAAAATATGGGTTCCCTACGAAAGAAACTTTCATGAAGACATTGGTCGCAAAACCAGAATCCGCCGCCTATTAATTTGCCCGTGGACCAGTTGTTCCTCCTTCGTACTCTTGTCGACTCCACTAGTTGTTCCTCCTTTCTTGTCGAAACGTGGGCAGCCAAACATGGGGCGCCCTCTCATGTAGCAAACTCTTTCTGAGGCATCCGCAAGGCAAAACGCGGCATCCAAACGCGGACTGCGTTGATCGAGGGTTCCTGGGGCCCTGCACGGGCAGCACGCCCGCACACTCCACGGAATGCCAGGGCGGATACCTGAGCGAGGCTCTCTTGCAACTCACTTTCGACGTGGCATGGCCACAACAGGGCCGAAAGTCGCGTCTACGACTAAAGACACCTGTCCAAGTGTAGTTTACCACGAAAAACCGAGTTCCAACTGTAGTTTACCACCAAAAGCACCTTTCCAAGTTTAGCTTACACCACTAAAACTATATTTCCAAGTCTGGTTTACAACTAAAACCAAATCTCCAATAAAGTTCAAAGTCCGAAAACTCGGAAAGTGAGAAGCTTCGAAGAGCCCTCTGACAGAACATTCCCTCGAACACCAGAACACAGGAATCCTCATCATGGGAAGTGTTAGCAGGTTGGAAATTATTCAATATGTCAACACCAAACCCTCCTGTGACCCTGACCACCCCTCAAAGACTTCCCCCAGCAGTTAAGGGTTTGATAAGCCTTGGTGCCGCGTATGGCCAAATGTGGCCTTGTCGGTTGGAGGAGCAGTCTTTGGGGGGTGAGTTTTTGTTCTCTTGAATTTCTGCCAAAACACAGGCATTGGCCATGAAGCTGGAATGTTGATCCCTGCGAAAGCAGGAAATATGAGGACCAATGGCCAAAAAAAAAACGACAACACCTTGGAAAGGTATGCGCAAACCTTCCGGAAAAGCAGCGCCAAGCTCAAACTAAGAAGTCCAAGATCTGCCGTGATTGTTTCACTGAGGACAAAGGCGTTGACATTTTCCAGGGTTCCAATGAGCTCCAAAGAAGCCATCCCAAAGATAGAAAGTTGGCCCCAGGGGATAGGCTAAAGGACGCCAATAGCCAGTTTTTACCCAAATGTGCTGTTATTGTTTTGAAGCCAAATCAACAAGCGCAGACCTCTCAAACTTCAGAATGGTGTGCTTCCCTCTCCAAACAAGATCTGGCCAAATGAGGGTTCCAGGGCTAAAAGGAACTGTTATCATACATTCACTCATTTCCGACCTAGTTGAGCCTATCATAATTTCTGCAAACAAGATGACACCGGACATGGGTGCGGCTTTACCTCAGAAGGCAAGAGTTAGGGGTACGAGTATTGCGTGCATTTTTTTCACGAAATGCTTGAATCGTGTTCGGTCACCAGCAACCTGCATGTGAACTCTACCAAAAGGGGGGGGGGAGATCACGACTCGCTACGCTATGATGAAGCCACGCAGCACACAGCAGTGCGTGGTATTGCCGACGCATACAGCCGTGTCCAGCAAATAGTATCCCACACGCAGTGGAACACGAATGCCACCCACATGCATCAAGGCAGAAGCTTTCGTTGGCTGAACTACACCGCTCTCTCCCTCTCCCTCTCTCTCTCTCTTTCTTTCTTTCTTTCTTTCTTTCTTTCTTTCTTTCTCTCTCTCTCTCTCTCTCTCGCTCTCTCTCAATCTCTCGCCTTCGCCTTTGACCAGATGCAGGTCAGAGTCCAAGTGCATTTTGAGGATGGTTGTTTAAAGAAGGGTTCAAAGTACCTCCTTAGAAGGTGCTTGGACCCAGAGGGCAAGGAAAACTTCACTGTCAAATGTGGCCCGGGTACTTGATTCTAGAACGAACAATCTCGCACGCAATTTAAGCTGCACGTGCATTTGAACACGGCGTGTCCGGAAGAAAAAAAGAAACAAAAAAGGAGCGGAAAACAAAAACGGCGTAGCAGGAAAATGAATGCATTGTATTCCGGTGTGGGCCTTTGACATGTAAAGCATTGCATTGTCTTGGCTGAGTCTTTGTACAACAATAAATAGCCATTGTGGGCGTGGTTGCTTTTGTTGTTGTTTTTGTGCTTTTTGGTGTTTGTGTTTGGCTTCTTTTTGTGTGTGTGCGTGTTTTTTTGGGCGGGTGTAATTAAGCTCTTTAGCTCCCCAAACAAACAATGGCTCCCCCATAATGTGGACAGCGGTACTCAACTCCGAGCTTGCGTGCGTCGGGCGGGGGGAGGTGTCTGAGTCTGACACAAGGTCACAAATGTGTTTTCAATAATTAGCTTGTCAAAAACATCGGGCTGGCAGCCAGTAAAGGTGACTCAGGCAACACATTCCACCACAGCAAGTGGCGAAGACAGTGAGGACAGAACAACTGGAAAAGACATGTTGTAGAGGGGGATATGATTGGAACGGGCCCGGCTATGTTGGCAAGATAGTCTATCCCGTCTACCCCTGTGCTACGCGCTTGTGGAAGAGCTCGGGCTAACGCTTTCTTCGGTCCCAAAGCAGGAAAGAAGAAGGCCTAGTTCGAGTCGAAAGCTTGAGGAAAGGTATGGAAAGGCATAGTCAAATTCTTGAGTTCTAAGATGATTTCCACTGCAGCCAAACCACCCCCAGGGGTTTAATGGGATACCCTTTGCATAGTAGCTATGTTAGTGGCCTTGGGCCTGAAGGCAGTGGTTTGGGGGTCGTGGTTTGGGGGTAGTGGAAGCCATCTTCAAATTGTTCAAATCCTCGGCACAGTCGGCCACGCGAATTGAGTGCCGGACATAGTGGCGTCCTGAGCCGGCAAAGTAGGGATCAAATGTCCGCGAGAACTGGCGCCCAGGAGCTAGGCAGCCCCTACGAGACGGTTTGGTTCTCCTCAGCCTAGGCTCTAAGGCTCTTGTAAGCCTACAAAAGCGGGTACTGGTGGGTACCGGAATGCTTGGAAGATAGAGCACAAGGTGAGGTAGATGGGTTTGGTTCTTCTCGAGCTGACCACGAACTGTCCCTCCAAGAAGTCTTTCTATGCGTCACCCTCCCTCGTTGGAAGACCGGGTCACTTGCAATTTGTCGAGTGTTTAGTGGATTTTAAAGGGAACCAAAGGCAAGCCGCCTTTCTTGGGGGGGGGGGAGCAAAACACGCCACCCCCATTTTCAGGGGTGCACATGTCTCATGGACAAAACACACCCCATGTTTAGGGGTTGTGGTGAGGTGCCAGTAGAAGCGGAGCCCCTCACAGCACCTTTGCCCCGGGTGGGCTGACCTCTGGCACACGTCGTGGTAGGGGGGGACCACGTTCAATGACCACACTTGTGGCATTCAGCTAGGCATGGCTTGTTCATAAAACCTGGAGGAGAATTCGGAGCTTTAGAATTCTCTGACTGGCAGAGTTCATGCTGGCAGAGCTCTCTGAACTGACTGAAGGAATTTTACACATCTGCCAGTGCTGCTAGGTACCTCTTGTTCATGACCTCCCCAAAGGAGAATTCAGAGTTTCTTTTGAGGGCGAAAACTGGAGGGTTCCCGCAGTCTAATTTAAAGGGGACCTGGCATACTAGAACACGCAGCAATTGCAGAGGTACATTTTGAGCGCCGGCCCTTTGCGCCGCGTGCTTTTTTCGGGCACCCCCCAAAAAATGTGTTCCTTGTGTTTGTTTCTTAAAAGCACCCACAAAAAGGGTGCCCTCAATGTCGGGGTTCATAGCCCGAGCAAGGCGGGTGTGAAGAAACAACCTGGGGTTGCCGTCTACCAATTGACTTCGAGCGTGCCTGCTCTCATGTTCAACCATCAAGATGGATGGGTGAAAACTTGCCCAACGATGCAGTTGATCTCAAAGGGATTTTGTTGAAGGAAAGCCCCTGTAAAAACGACTACATAAATCAACAAAACAACCAACTTGATGGCGTGGCCCAAAGCCTTGAACAAACCACTCTGTCCACTAACACGGGCCAAGGCCAAGCCCCACAAATGAGCGTCCGGAAGCTTTTGGTCTTTGAGAAGAAACAACTCAACCCAAGCAAGCAAGCAAGCAAGCAAGCAAGCAAGCAAGCAAGCAAGCAAGCAAGCAAGCAAGCAACCACGCAAGCAAGCAACCACGCAAGCAACCACGCAAGAAGCAAGCCAAACAAACCAACGAACAAACCAAAACAAACCAAAACAAACCGAAACAAATAACATCACACAAAGAAACAAACAACCACACTGGATCACACAAATTCTGGAATCCTGGGACCTCGCACGTAGAAGGCTTCGCAGGGCGTCGCAGCTGACCCGGGAAGACGCTCCAATGTCTGGGGAAGGGCCAGCGCTTGACATGGCCACGGTCATAATAAGAAAAGTTCCCCTAAGAGGACATTGGAGGAACTGAGTGCTGAGGGGGGCTCTGAGTTCTGAGTTCCCCTAGCACGCCCGAAAGCCACATAGCCACAATTCCCCTAAGCATAGCTCACTGAGTTGCCCCTAAGCTCACTCAATTCCCCTTGTGCATGCTGTGCGGGCCTGTGCTTTTGGGGGAATTGTTATGAGCTTCCAATGTCCCTCCTGGATGGCCCACGGTGGGCAAGTCCTTCCCAAACTCAACGCGGGTTTACCCAGCGATGACTTTTTCCAAACACAAGGTCGAAAGATAGGCCCTGCTTTCCATTGCAGCTGGCTGTTCCAGATGTGAACACATCAAGCCGCTTCCATCAGATTTCAGCGTTTTCGGTGTTGCACATGTTGAAAACCAGTGCCCCTGGTAAAAAACTAATTGGAATCCCTTTTATTGTTCCCCATACTTAAAACAGAAATCCACTCCACCAAGCAAAAAATGACTTGAGAGTGAACTCCTCCGAACAAAAAGAGCTAAGTTCCAGAAACAAAACTTGTGGTGACTGGCTAACTTTTCAATCTTAACAACAGACGCCAAGCCCGAACAGGAAATAAGCTATTACCTCAGCTGTTGCATCCGACAAAAAAGGGTTTCTAGATTATGTTCCATATGTAGTGAAGCTGGAAACAAATGAGATAGGGTATATCCATTAAAGAAGTCACAAGGGATCCCATGCGCCACAATCAAAACCTGGCGCACTTAAAGGGCCTACCACTCGTGAATTTGCTCGGGACTGTCCAGGCTACGCTTCACCTACCCCAAGCGACCTTGAGCAAGCTCATAGGTCCTGGACCCAGTCCGCTACCAAAAACACCCTCATATTATCATGTTCTCTCAAACTCGGGCAAATCCCTAAAAATGCTTGGTTTCCTTTAATTGTCCTTTAGACCATGGCAATGGAATATGACCACTGTGATCCAACAAAAAGGGCTTCCCCAAGACAACCCCCCCATTTAAAGAGGAAGATTCCCAGTATCACAGAAGTGGTTGGATAAACCCCTTGTGATGTCACCACCCTGCTCTAGACCAACCCTACAATTTGGTTTCCCTCAACAAAAAAGGAACACACGAGATGCGCAACCAACTTTCTCCCCGCCTCCGCGATGGATGCCTCCTCTATGGGCTCCTGCCGCGACCTGCGCCAGTCCCAATCTGTGGGTGGTTCTCTGGGCTGTCCGTTTTGTTTTCAGACCCCCCGCCAAAAAACAAAAAACAAACTTTGCGTGGGTGAAATACGGAAATCCCCACTAACACTAAAAACTTTCGCAGGGTTGTAAAAGTGTCAATGTTTACTCTGGTTCAAGCAACCACTAAACCCAAATCAACAAAAACATGTTCAATAAATGAAAGCTTGGCTTTTGGACAAGCCTGGTGTTTATAGAGTTTCATCCATCCGGGCTACGAGCGACATGGATTGTGTGCATCCTCAGTAGCGATTCCAATTGGTACTTTCTACGCGGTACTTTGACATCATTTGACCGCAACAACCATCCTGAAAGGGTACCAAGGGGTCCGCCGATGGACTCGCAAGATCCTGCCTGCGGATGAGCTCTGACACTTCCCAAATTGCCTGGCGACTGGCAACCCCCCCGAACATGTTCCTTTGGCTTGGTCAAATCGTGGTCCCGACTCCCTGACAATCTCTTTGCTGGTTTGGGGCGGGAACATGTAGAACCTCCAACATATCTGGGGGTGTCTTTTGGCGGGACACTCTTACACTTCCTTGTTTTTTCCCCAGCTGAAAGCTTTGGGGTCTCAGCCCAGATAGGCTCCGGGGTGGTCCGGCCCTGAGGTCGGGTTCCACGAAATTTCCACCAGGGTTCCACTCCACGAGGTTCTGCGAGGGCTGCGGGGTGGTGTGACGAAAAGGAGCACCGCATGCTGGGGATATCACCTGAGCTCCTTTTTGTGGGGGGGGGTCTCCTGAAAAAGGACACGACATTTATGGTTTCCCGTTACCCCTTTAAACAAATCCTGAAACGGGTATCCCCGAAGTTCGTCCAGTCAGACTTCCCAGTCTTTGACCTCCTTCCTGAACTTGTACCATCAAGCAAACAAAAGGAGTCTCCTTTTTCGGGGACGCCTTGATTGAACGTCAGGGTTCCTTCAGAAGTCCTCCCCGGGGACTCCTTGTCAATCCCAGGATCCTAGCGTGGACTTGAGCATCAGACTCCTGTGGCGCGCTTCTCTCCTCGACGGCTTCCTCCCGCTGAGCTACGCCCGCACGCCCCACAGCCGACAATATCCGGACTCGTGAAAGCCGCCGGAACCCGCCGGCGCCGGAATCATGCTCCCTACAGACTGCAGTGCGTACCCAAAGCTGCAATCGTGGAATCGGACATCTGAGGGCAAGCCTGCTGGCGATGCGCAGCTTCCAACAGCGCCTCTACCTGGAGTATATCAGAGGGAAGGATTCTGGCAATGTCTCGAAAACATGCTTTCTCCGTTGCTTCGGCGTGTCGGTGTCGCCCATGGCTGAAAACCATCGTCTTTCTTCCTCCCGTTGGGTCTGAATTTCCGGACGGAGCCTTGGAAACGGCCTAGGAACACCCCGAAGGGTCAGAGAGCAAAACGGACGGAGCAAGCAATCCCTGTCTCTGAAAGTAAACCCCACATTCAGAACGTGGTTGATGAATATGGCGTCCCATGTCTGAGCCCATCCGTCACTTTTTGGAGGAGACATGCGCCTAACAATCCACAAGGTGGATTTTCAGGGCTAACATTGCGGAAGGAGTTGACCCAAAACCAGTAAAGACCCACAGGGCCGGAAACTCCATTTCCTGCGGTGGTCAAGGGGTTTCTTACCCTCTCTAAAACTGAAAAGGTAAATGCTCGGTTACAGTGGCTTGCCTTGGATCTGGGTTTGCTCTGTGGTATGGTAGCAAACAGCTTTGTTTTTTGCAGCGCCCTACTAAAAACGAACAGAACCAATAAACCAACAAAAAAAACAATTCAAAACTTGCCAACAACAGTGAAGTGCAATCCGCGGGAAAAAAGATCCGCCGCCTGCGCCGGCGACTGCGGAGGGTCACACGAAGGCGCCTGCTTCGTCGCGTCGAGGGAGGGGCACACGAGCTGCTGTGATTGGCAATTCACCGGTTTGGGCCTTGAAACGATGAGCTGAGGTGAAAGTCCGGCGAGAAGGGAACAAACTACTTGATTGGCTACCAACAAGTTATTTAAGAATGAGAAAATAAGCAAACTGTGGGGAAGGCATCAACACACAACACGTGCAATGAACACCGAGATGTCGCAATCAGGGTTCACTTTGTGTTCATGCCGGCACTTGTTGAATCCAGCTTTTGCTCTTGGCCCAACTCTGGGGCAGAACAAAAAACATCAGATTCTTTGTATTTCGTCTAGGCAACATACTTTTGAGAGAAGACCCACAATATTCAAAGTGGCATCCGAAACACCTTTAGTCCAAAGGCGCTTTTGGAAGGCCCTGCATGTTTTGCAATCAGGTAGTCTTAAAGGTTTAAAGGTGCAACAGAACAACCAACTGTCGGTGTACGCTCCACATGCCTCAATGCGTGCCTAGGGAATTGAGCAACGGACACGATCAATCAACAGAAAGCAATACGCCGAGAAGGTCCACCAAAAAAAAGCTTTCCGTTGCTCACACGGGAAAATTGGAGAGGTGAATTGGCCCACTCTTTCCAATTATTGGGAACGCGTGTGTTTCGAGCCCTCCCGACTCAATTTGACAATGACCGCTGCAGAATGAGTCACTTCAAGATTACAGTGGGTGGCTACTTCAAACACACCCAAACCTTAATGTGCCACAGTTCAGGTCAAATCAAAATTGAACGATGAGTGGTTGAAATTTCAGTTGCACAGGCAACAGCTGTCCCGATCCTTGCGGCAAACTACGAAAGGTGCAATGGAGATCCCGAAGCTGTCAATGAGCAAATTACGGTTTCCCAAACCGGAAATACAAACCCCCACTGGCCATGGGGAAACAAACGGGCGCTTTTTTGGAGTATGATTCTAGGCGAACCCTCCCCCACAAAAACAGGGAAAACGGGCGCCTCGGCTGGTCACCTTTGTGGCTCCTTCTGGCCTGGTACATGGCCTGCAGAAGCCAGGAAGCCATGTCCTCACCCAGCTGGAATTCCCCCCGCAAAACTGGGGGAGGGGATTCCCTCCTCCGTAAGGACACCACGCAAGGGAATCCGCCAGAAGGCCGTAAGAAAGAATCCCAATTCAATTCATTCATGTCCTGATGATCCTGATGTCCATTGAAATTGCCTGGCGCCAACAAAAATAATCCAAAATCGCCTGGCTCACATGGGGATACTGGGAATCAGCTAATGCGAAGTTCAACATATGACAAACATGCATCATTATTGAACCCCCAACTCCAACTGTGCGGTCAGAGCTCCGAATCTGTTGGCCATGGTCATGGCTTCTTTGATAGGAGCTCTCATGAATGATTGTCTCAACAAATCCCCCTACTCCAAGCAAAAGGGTGTTTTGACCAAGTCTCATTCAATTGACATGGTCAAATATGCGCCAAAACAGGGGACCACCCCGCAAAATACTTGGTTTTGATTTGCGTTCCCTTTCTACCGAAATGCAAAGGGCACAGACCGATCTGCCATAAAGCCATAAGGGCATAAGGGCGGAGGGAGCCCTGATTCAAGCGCGCCTTTTGTCGGTTGGCACGGGCAATGCGGATACAAACCTTCACATGGAACCTTGGGAGTGACAAAGGCTTCCACATTAATGTAAGGCCTTACGATAGAATATACCATGTGTGTGTTTCACTTTTTGCCGGTACTGTAAAATGTAACTCTCCCAAGTCTGCCCCAGTCCATCGTTCGCTCGGGCAAAAATATCCACCGCGGTTTCATGAACCTAGTCGAAGCTTTTCGGGCCGCCTGAACCCTAGGCCTCAAGGGCTCTCGGCTTTTCCCTTGGCCCGGTCCGTGAAATTGAGATCGGCAGGAACCTCTAGGTATCCGTGGGCAAAGAAACGGGCAGCTTATGTTATTCTCCAAGACCTTAGGCAGCCAAAAAAAGGAAGTCAGAAGCAAACAACCTGTGTTGTTCAGCTTTTCTCCGAAAAACCTGGTTTGGGAGCTCATGGTAAACATGACGCATTTTGGTTTTATAGTACAAAGCGATGTTCCATCTCTGGCCGAAGATAAATATCCGGGCATAGCACAACTTCACTTGCGAGCGACTCCTCTGGCGCCTTCCCCACATCTTCGCCGGGCGACGCTTCGGGCTGGCTAAGATCTCCCTGAATTCCTTCGGGAGTCCCAACACTCAGAGTATCTACCTGGAGTCTCCATGACCCTTAAAAATGAGTCCATGACCCACTCATGACCCCATTATTTTGGTGCATGACCCCATTATTTTAAAGGGTCAAGGAGACTCTAGGTAGTTGTTGAATGGTCATAGAACGGGCACAACAAAGAAACCATTCATCCCAAGATGGTTTCCACTACCAAACCACGTTTCCCAAACCCAGGATATGCCCAATATGGGCTTTCCTAGAGTAGGGGACCCCCCAAAATGGTAGGTTTCCTTTAAATTTCCGATTTGAGAAACACCCAATCTACAGTGGCTTTGTAGCGGCTTTGTCATAGTCAACCTTGGGCGGGTGCAAACCCTCCAGAGGCTTCAAGCGCGCCCTATCGCGCTGGCTCCATAGGCAGGGAATGAGTTGGAATGACCGAGGAAAAAACTATCCCTTGTGGTTTCCTTTAAGGGAATCCCCTTCCGGTTCATTCCCAACACCCAGAAGATCATTCCGTACTGAGCACCGCGATGCAAATACAAAGGCCCAAAGGTCAGGATTGACACAAATCCCAGGTGCTCGCGTTTTGATACCTCAACACGTCGACCTGGTTCACCTCTAAACATGGAGCAAATCGCTCAGGGTGGCTCTAATAAGCGGTGCACAGAAGGAAATGCATGTGTGCAGCATCCGAAAGTAAAACCTATTTCGTAGAACCAATCGCACCGAAATAGGGAAAACCACAAGATCTTCATCCGTGTCGATTCACCGGTAGTGAGCCAAGCCATCAGTGTCTTGGCAGGTCTTGGTAGGCTTGAGGGGTCAAAGAGCTTATAAGGTACCCAGGCACCTTTAAAAAGGCGATGTTTAAACCTGGATACGTAATAAATACGTGTTTGTTTTGCATGTAATTCTCTATTAGGACCCCTGTGACATATGTTGAACATCCCCAAGCTCTGCTATGTCTCCACGCCCTTCGGCCTTCGCCTGTAGGAATACAGTAGCCGACGAAGAGGCAGTGGCCTTAAGGCTCGAAGTTACTAGCTCAGCGCTTGGAAAAAGACGACACCGTCCACGACCCAAAACCCGGGGTCTCCTATTTTGAGACACACTCATATAGGCCTCCCTACCCGCATGAGAACCAGGTAGAAGCAGCCACCTTCATTGGCCGAGTGGTTCGTTGATCCGTCGCTCATTTTTTTGGGGGGGTTTGGGTGCCCCCCAAGATTCGAGTGTGCAGAACCTCATCCCACTTCACGAGATCCAGCCGCGGAAAAAAAGGCAAGAATCCAATCTCAGTGACCTTCACCAAACCGTGCGAGGTAAGACCAACCCAGCACCAGATAAAGAATTACGAATGCGGCCGCAGCTGTTTATGGTTGGGATTGTCCCTTACCAACCTTCCTTTACCCGGGTTTTAATTGTGGCTCAAATGAGGTCAACTAAGGCCAAGGCCTTAACACTTCGGGGGCTGGGTTTGGGCGAGACCCTGGCAATGGGGGAGCCGTTCATAAAAATCGATAACTTCTATTCAGAGCTGTCTCGCCCTGCAGTGCCAACATTTGAACTGAACACTCTCACAAGCTTTACATAGCTTCTATTTGCTTAAGGTGTCCCTATGTAATAAACACACTGACTTCCTGAGTGCATTGGCCAAAGACAAGCTAAAACGTGCGTGCACCAGAAAATTAATCAGTCTAAAATGTTTGGCAGCCCCCGGCAAAACCTGCACATTCCGTCTCGTAGAGCCAGGAAAGTGAAAGAAGTCACACAAACTGCAAAATCATGCATTTCTTACTTTGACAGTTTTACTTTCCCTCAGTACATGTAAAGGCACGAGCTGGGAGAGCAAGAAGTTGACCAGTCCCAGTACCTTGTGACGATACACGTTTGCCGTTTTTGGAACTTAAGTGCATGGTGAGAAGATATCAAGGTAGCGGTGAAGGGCACAATGAAGCCCAACACAGCCGACTGATCTTCCAAAAAGCCCATCAGAGCCACTTGATGTACAGCTAGTCAACAGATTCATTTGCGAACCCCTCGTTATGGATCGTTGAAGGCCCACAGTTGAAAGTAGCTGGCGCAGTTGGCATGGCTGAGTCATCATCTTTTCTTGTCAACGGTGCTTCGTCGGGAAGCGGTTCCAAGGCGTCTATGGGTTGTCAATACCAGACAGCAACGTTATCTTTGCAAAGCAGGCTTGAGCGCATTGAGGTTCCTGGTTGCAATTGGACGAACTGGGTGGCTTGCTTGCACCAACTCCGGCAACTGTTCAGGGATCCCTAAGGTGACCCCCCACAACCGACCCCCGAATTCAAGGCTATGTTACCTTGATAACTCTAAATCGCTCTAAATCACTCTAAGTCACTCTAAATCACTCTAAATCACTCTAAAACACTCTAAAACACTCTAAAACACTCTAAAACACATAAGTGGGGGTGTCCCACTAAACCACAATCAGCAAAAATGTAAAATGTTTCCCAACAACAACCACATAAAGGGCATAGTGCCATCTACTTTCACCCTAAGGACAAACAGCCTGAGGAGTCCTCAAAAAGGTAAGTGGCCATGGGCTTTTCAAAAGCCAAATCGGTTAGCCCCCAGTGAACGGGACCCAATCCTAAAATGGGTGGTGCATTCACCTACCCCAAAATGGGATCCAAAACGGTTTTGACCCACAGCCATGTGGTTGGGTGGAAACCCTCTTGGCTTGGATCTCTGCCCGGGTTCTCAATGAACAGCCGTTCAAACGACAAAACCACTTTCCACAATAGAAAGTCCCCTGTCACAAAATTTGCTGGTGCGATTATAAGCCATCCAACTGGTTCATTCCCTCATTGCCTACTTATAGCACGAGCAGCAAAGCGCCTGAAACCCCGTCCCAACGTCTGTGGAACTGGGGCTTGATCAAATGGGACGACCATTGGAGAAAACCACCCAAAGCCCAAAGATGATATTGCCCACATAGGAGAAGTTACCCGCGTTCAAAACTGGGGGCCGAAGGGAACATTGATCACCCAACTGCAAGCCCCAGGCGCAGGCAATCGCAGCAGCACTGGCCAGCGCTGCCGCTGTCGGCTGGTCGGCCTGTGAGGTTTAGCTCATTGATTGATCCGCCAGATGCGTAAGGTGTTGCTTCAAACCGACCCTTCTTGAGATTGGAGCCGAGCGCTTACCACCTCTGTCCGATCTGTCTGTTCACACGACATGTTGACGCTACCTTGTGCAGGCTTGTCTGGTCAGGTCGAAAGCCAGCCCCTGGCGCTTTGCGCGAACAAGTCCCCAGTTCTGGAACTCATTGGATCAGGCATCAAAGACTGCCCTTCTTGATCTCGAGTCTAGCAGCATCTGAGTGTCCCCTGTTTTCTTGTGTCCCGGCTTGTGGAACATCGCGACTGAACTCCATCCGTCCAACCTCTGCATGTCTCAACTTGAAGGTGTGCAAAACCTTCTTCCAATCCGTTGGGCAACCGACTATGGAGAAAGTTTGCTTTGTCAGTGGGGATTGTGGCTGAAACGGAGGTGAGGCCAATTTTGGGAGAAGCCCCCCTCCCTCCCTCCTTCGAGAACTCCACGAAAAAGCATGCGGAGTCAACATGATTGGCATTTTGTCGGCAGTCCCCCATTACCACCTAACATGGTCTGCCCAAACAAAAAGTCCAGAAACAGAGGAACTCAGTTTTATTTTCAAACTCCCAGCCCCCACTCAACTGTTTGTTTACCACTGAAAAGCCATCAAAGCAGGGTTCAATTCCATCCTGAGTCAGCATCAACGCAGGAGTCTTCAAACATACTGTGGATGAACAAAATCCCGCACCAGTTTGCAACCGTGGGAAACCATTGTTTGTTGGCATATACAGGGAAATCATTCCAGGGTCCCTTAGGTGGTGCCAAATGGATTTTGTCCACAGTACAATCCCCAAAAACGGACCTCCCAGTTGCTAGACCAACCCGGGGATGGTCACCGCGCCGCGGCGTCAACGCGCCGCGCCTCTAGCTGCCGCGCAGAAGTGCTGCGCCAGGCACCCACCAGCGCCTCCAGGCGCGCGTGACAGAAGGCCTCGCAAGAGAAGTGGCTGGACAAGGCCCGCCTCCCAAAAAGGCAGTCCTCAGCTTTCCTTCAATTGAGTCAAAAAATTGTACAAAAATGGTACAAAATCAAAACCTGGTACAAAATTGAGTAATCAAAACCTGGTACAATGGTGAACCCAGAATCATGTAAGAAACTGAAAAGGCGGCGCAACTATTTCCGGCTGGGGCTGCCCCTTACTAACCTTCATCTACCAGGGTTTTGATTGTGACTCAATTGGCATTGAATTGGGGATGATTTATGGGAGGTTTGGGGATGAGTCAGCGTCCCTTCATTTGGCGGTTGGGGGGTGGTTTCCCATGCACCTTCTACAAAAGCCAGGGGATCAAATCTGAATCCAAACAAATCCAAACCACAAATTCAGGGTTGCTTGAATTCCTCATCAAGGGATCTGGCTGACAACAACAAACTCCCAAGAATGAGGAACCCCAAAGGAACCTTTTTGAGCAAACTCAGTCGCGATACCGAAATCTCCTAAGTATCTGAGCGTCCAACCCGAAACCAAGGACTTCAATATGCTCGTTGTTCGTAAAGGCAATGGATTCAAGATGGTCCCAATCTTTGACCCAGACATGGTGGGAACTGTCGTCACCCCCAAAAAAAAACGGCGCGTAGTGCGAAATATACATGGGTTTGTTGTTTTTATTGGGGGACCCCACCCCCAACAAATAACTTCAATTATCCTTGTCGTTGGCCTTTGAAACCACCAAACAGGGGCACCCGGAAACAAAAGACACACCCGCATGAACACAGACACGGTGACAACACCTCCCAAATGGGTTCTTTAGGTGGCGTCCATTGAAACGTTCGCCACTTTTGGTTCCAAAAGGAGAAATGGGGGTGCCTTCCGGTTCAACGTGGAACTTGACGGTTCGGGTGCTGTTTTGGACCAGAATTTGATTGAAAGGGGTCATTTCTCTGGTGGGTTCCATGGCGTGGACAGGAACCCTGTTTAAACATCTCACTTGCAATTTCGGGGCTGGGGTTGGAGCGCTCATTCTATGAGGTCAACCTCTCCCATTCTGTGGCCCACAAGCCTTTTGTAAGCTCTACACAAGGAGGCTTTTAGGGTGCTTTCTTGGGGGTGTTTGCTGAACTTCTTTTGAGTGGGAGAAATATCAAGGAAGTTGAAACAATAGTTTTGTAAACATCAAGGGAAAGGGAATCCCCGCTGGCGGCCTTCTGATACCTTCCCCTGCCTGGCTCCGCACCAGCAGCGTGCGGACGCCTGACCACCCAGCTTCAAGGAATCGGAGCTTTGGCTTTGCAAGGCTTCAAGCGGGTGCTGTTGGCCCCCGTTGAAACCCAACCAAACCCATCCCCACAGATTGCTTGGACACCTTAAACTGGTGAATCTGGGCGAGTTCTGGAAAACATGGTCGCACAGAGTCAGTCGGAGTTTCCGCTGAACAAGAACACCAACGTGGCAACAGGTGAGAGGAGCGGGAGGTGCCTGAGAAATGATGTTCGCCAAGTCTCAGAGATAAAGAGATGACATGAGAGGTAAACAAGAGAAAGAAAGATGGAGATGAAAGGGACAGGATTATAAAGCTAAAAAGAAATAGATTATGAAATCCTGTCCATCTTTCCTCACCATCCGTTCGTTTCCTATGTCTTTCCCTTCTCTTCATTCCGGCCATACCCCCCACCTAAGAATAGACTTCCAATTAATTGGATTACGCATCATTGAACGTAAAATTCTGCAGACTTGCACCGAAAATGAGCAGTCTGTTTTCACCCATTGAGGTTCCACGAACAATTTGTTTTTTTTTGTTTCGAAGCCTTACAGCTGAAACCCACCACAGGAACCGAGCATCAACTAAAATGAACAATTGTTTTGGTTAATGTCCATTCCCCTCACCCTGCACCCATCCTTCTCTTCAAACAAAAATATCCCCAAACAATGCTGCATATTCTGAACTTCCCCGAACAAAATAGAAAGGGTGCTACATAGCGCACCTACCCAAATTGAATCCATACACAACCTTCATGGGGCCGGGAACCGCGGCTTTTACCCCTCACTTCCTGAGTGGTTTCGCCAAACCAGGTCGCAACTTGTCGCTTGCCACCGGCCTAGAAATCAAAACCAAATCCGAAAACTGGAAAAGTGAGGGGAGCAAATGGCCCTGGGTCAAAATCCCGTACCTCCAGTGAACATCCCAATCCCCACTAAAATCCCGACTAAAAAGGGTGGTGAATTCACCTACCCCAAAATGGGATCCAAAAACGGTTTTGACAACCACCGCCAAATGAACTAACAAGGCGCTTTAAACCGAAAGAGCACTCAGTTGTTCAGTGACCCTGGCAAAAAGGACACCCTTTTTGGGGAAGACCATTTTTAGTGGGACAGCCACTAAGAAAAGGGGGCAAAAGGGTGCCACTGAACAACTGAGAGCAGGCAAACTTTGGGGGAAGGCCCCTTCGCCCCGTCGCCTGAGGGCAGTGCCGCGCCAGGAATTTCCACCGCGGGAAGCCAAGGCGCCGGCGCCAGAAGTCGCCTCAGGGGTGGCGAATTTCTGGCAAACTAAGCAGTCAAACAGGTTTAAGTGAAACAAGCCAATACCTAACATGAAACAAGCCAATACCTCAGCTTTTGCCTCCAACAAAACGGGTTTCTAGGCTCTGTTCCAGATGTAGCGAGCCTGAAAGATCAAGTCATATCACACGAGATAGGGTATATCCATTAAACAAGTCACAAGAGATCCTACGCGTCACAATCAAAATCTGGCGCGCGCAAAAGTCTTAACGCACCTGAATATGATTAGTGCTGTCCCGTTCTAGGCGTCATCTACCCGAAGCGGTCTTAAGCAAGTGGCTCATTGTTGCAGGACCCCCAGTCAGCCATGTTGGTGGGAGAACGGGGCTTAAACATGTTTCAATCTAAGATGCTTTCCACCACCAGCAAGCCACCAAGGGTTGGATGCATCCGCAACAAAAACACTGCACAAGGGGGTTATACCAATGTCCCCTGGAAGTATTGGTTCCGAGTGTTGGGTTAGGTAGCCTGCTGCACAAACTGCCTTCTTCATGTGGCCCAAGGGAGCCGTTCAAGAAACCACAAGATCTGCTAGAGGAGGGCCCCGAGGGGTTGACGGCAATTATTGAGTTCAATTTCTGTTTTCAACACCGACCTCCACTGAATTCGGTAAATGCTTTACCTCTTTCCCTTCGAACAGGCGCCAAAGTTTGGCAGCTCCAACATTTTTTTTCCAACCCTGTCCAATCCTTGCAGTTTGCCTAAACCTTCTGGGCTCGTATCACGCCAATTGGCTCGCAAACAGTTGCCTGAACCTTTGTTGAGTTGAACATTTGCCTATGGGATGCTTTCGTAAACCATCGCGCAGGTTGGTTGAAAGCGCAAGGCTTGCAACGCTCGCAACGACTGCTTGGGTCGCAAGTGTTCGCCAAAGTCTTTCTCATTCTAGCGTGCCCGCTGTACCAGGCACATCTCCAGCACGGGGGCTGCCATCCAAAATAGGGGCCGTATGTTGGACACCCTCAACAAACGCGTTGCTGTTTGATAGAGGGGTGGGTTAGGCCCAGCACAAAGTTCAAGTTTACTAATCAATTTGGGTTTTGATTTGGAATTGAAACAACTCAGTAACTTTGAGTAACTTGCTCATATTTGGGTTTTTGAATTGAGAATTATAACCACTAAGTAACCAAGGGCAACAAGGAACCACGTTCCAACCTGTCGCCCAGGCAGGTGGTTCCGCCCATCCCGCCTGGCCAAGGACTCTATGGCGCTGGCGGCCGCCGTGTGCAGCCAGGGCAGTAGGCGCTCGAGAAAGCCCATCGGCGTCTGCCCGGGGAGGTTCGGGGGGGTTTGGGCGGGTTTGGGGGCGTTGGGGGGTAGGGTGGTTAGGGTCACGGCGAGTTTTGCGAGCACCCCCGACGAACGCTGCGGTCAAAGCTGCGGCTTGGAAGCGGGGACGCGAATCAACAGGAAAGGTGCGCCTCCACGCGTCTCTCCCAATCTTGGAGGTATGTTGGCCAGAGCCACGAATCAAGAACAAATTCTTCGGAATGTGGGGATCCAAATTTCACGAGAACCCTCAACCTCCCCCAATGGCCCACAGGATGTATGCTTGCCAGGCCCACAGGATGTATGCTTGCCAGGCGGGCAAGTCGCGCAACCCTCCAAAGGCCAACGCTCCGCCGCAACTGGGGCTGGAAGCTGGGACAGGGGACGCAAAATCACAAGAACCCTCAAGGGTCCAAGCGACTTTGAATGTGATATTTTGACGACAGCCTGCAAAGGCGCTTGGATTGTCTAACCTCTACGCAGCGCGCTGGCTGGTCGGTTGGTTGATTGATTTGTTGGCTGGTGGGTGGTGGTGGTTGTTGTTTGGTTGGTTGGTTGGTTGGTTGGTTGGTTGGTTGGTTGGTTGGTTGGTTGGATGGTTGGATGGTTGGTTGGTTGGTTGGTTGATTGGTTGGTTGGTTGCTTTCGAACGTCTGAGGACGAGCCATAGGCTGGAGACAGCCGGTGGCTTTGAGGAGGCTGATCACTCGGCTCGCTCCACGCGCCTCGCCGCGCTTCTCCAAGAGGGCCTCCAGCGTGCTGAGTGGCGAAGATGCCGCGAGGTTCTCGATGAGGTGCAGCACCTGTCGGGCTTCTCATGGCCGACGCCCGCCGTTTTCAGATCTGCCGAAAAGTGACGAACTTGTCGGCTAAATGGAAACCCAACCGCTAAACCAACTAAAACATAAGGGGACGGCTGGGAGCCGCCAAGTTCGGTGACCGTTTGGAACATAGGTGGCTTTCCTGGGTAAAGAAGCATAAAGCCACCCCGAACCAGTGGAACCCATCTATTTCTAGCCAAACGCCTATGTTCTTCGGATTGCGTGGATTGGCTGAAAAAGCAAACCAAACTTTTATTAGCACTCAAATAGTTCAGACTGTTCAGACCCCCAAAGTGACTGAACAACTCAGAGAGTGAGTTTAACTAGCATAATCGTCCCAGCCAAGGAAAAATGTCGGAACTCTGTTGATGTACGAACATGATCGTCCCAGTAAGCACACTCTGGATTCGGTTACTCTTGGTAAAGACACAGAATTACCGCACAATGCCTTGATTTGAGGTCTCTAAGCCCTTTCCCCGAATTGGTGACACGGTGTCTGGTGGTTTGGAGGCATCTGATTTGCTTTCAAAAAAGGGGTTCAGGGCTTCAAAACCTCTTCTCAGCAGATTGACAAAAAACACGTGCTTTTCACCACTAATGTTGACCCCTATCAATCCACCAACCAGTTTATGAATGGGGGGGTGGTTTTGGCCCCTCCAATAAGTTGTCTGCTTCCCCGCATTTCACACAGGGAGACGCACAACCCCCCCGATTAATTGTTGGGGTTGATCAATATGAGGGCAACATTAAAACGGTCTTCCTAAAAAGTGTTCAAAGTGCCGGAACTCAGGAAGTGAGAAACCCATCCCTTACAAGGCAGCCAACAGACACCTCCCGCAAGTTGGACGATCGCTCGCCTTGCAGTTCTCACGCTCAGCAAAGGCATCGCCGGGCGCCTGGCAGGAGAAAAACAAGGGGTTGCCCTAAGATCAGATCATCCACCCTTGTCGAAAAATATGGATTTGGACCCCCCAAGTGGTGATGATCCTCTTGGTTCTCTTTTATGTTCACTCCAATCCCAGGTACCTTTTTCTTGATTGATTCAGGATACGGCGATGCTCCGGACCCCCCCCAACAAAAAAAACGACGAGGGCAACTATGTCTACCTATGTGCCTACCGGTGGGCCCCGGAGCCCCAGGAGCCTGAGACGCATGTGTATGGTATCACAGACCTGGGTGGCAGCCACAGACCTGGAACCTTCTGTCGACATTGATGGGGTCCACCATGTCATGTGGCTTTGTGTGTTTGAGGACTTCTCTGTTTGATGTGTGTGTGTGTGTGTTCAAAGTCACACCAAATGAAAGGCACATTTAAGTTGCGGGTTGCCCCATGTCAAGACAATCCAGAACTGTTCCTGGCCAAGCACGCTTTCTTGCTTGATGCTCTCCCGTTGCAGTACGTGGAAAGCCTTCTCAGGATGCCAAGGGAGCATTGTTCTAACGAAACACATGCGAACCATGTTAGCACAACATATCTCTTATCCCGCAAACTCAAACCGAGTGCTTGGTTTCGAGGTCAAAAATCCAACCGAAAGACCTCAAGGGATTCAGAAGCCCGGGATTCATACACCCCTGGTTGATAATACTGTCCTTGCAGAATTCCTGGCGGGCAAATTTGCATACACCCAGCTCGGCTCCCTTGCTAGCTAGCCTCGGCAAACTCAGGGAAAATCCAGCTGACATGGCCTTCCGGATTCTGCTTCATATTTCGACCAAACATCACCGAGTTTAGTCTAAGGACACCCTTGAAACATTTGGTGTGTCGTGTGTCTTGTTTTAAGGGCACCCGTGTCAAGGTGTGTGGCAAAGGGAAACCAAAGGTAAACTACCCAATTTTGAGGGGTCCCTCATCCCACTTCCTCGGTGTCCAAGCTAAGCAGTCTTCCCCAAATGTTCCAACTCAGGGAGTGACCAACATTTCCTTGCAGGTCTCCTGGTAGCTCCGAAACACTTGGCTGTGGGTCAAAACCAACGGTCCCATTTTGGGGTAAGTGCACCACCCATTGGGGATTGGGATGTTCACTGAGGGTACGATTTGAATTTTGACCCATGGTCACTTATCTTGAAAGCCAACTTTGGACTTTCCCAGCTCTAGTTGTCGGGTCGCTTCCAACCGCCAGGGTGAATTATAGCTGGGCTGTCCCCAACCTGATTCCCCTGCTAAAAGTTCTCCGACTTGTGTCAAATGGACACCCAATCACGAAAACAAGCAAAACAAACAACACTAAAGGCCTTTCTGGGGACGCACGGACACCACCAAATCAACATCAAGAAAAACCTCCAAAAGCCAAGGTCGAACCGACTGGACCGAGAACATCCCCCAACGAGCACGTTGCCTTGAGCTCCGCGTGGAGCGCCATGTCAAAGGCCTCGAGCTCCAAGGCCTGGCGCTCCTGAACGTCTGCCAGTCTCGCAAGGGGCTTGCTCTCAATTCCATGACCCCAGATTTTAAGGCCAATTTTCGTGGGGGTGTCCCTTTGTAGAGGTGACCACTTTTGGAGGGCACAATTTCAGGGACGCCTTGGATCCGTCAGCGCGCGCCTCGCCGGCGCCGGCGGCTTCCTCCGCCAGGCACCGCGCCACGCCGAAGGCGTCGCCGCCCGCGCGCAGCAGCGGCTCGGCCAGGGCCTCGAGGTCAGAGCGGAGGGATCGAGTTCCCGTAGCTCGGCGCGGCGCGCGGCGGACATTTGTTTTTTTGGGGGGGTGACGGTGAACCCTGTGGGTTTTTCAATTTAGGACCATGAAACAAGGGGTACCCACCAAAGATGACACACTCATAGGGGAAAAAAGCAGTTCAGCGCCTTTATTTTTTTTGTTGGGGGGTTGACACACCCATAGGAAAAAAAGAAACAAAAAACAAAAACAGTTCAGCACATTTCTTTTGTTTTTGTTTTTGTTTTGTTTTTTTGTTGGGGGGGGGGCAATTGATTTCCCACCAACAACGCAGTGGTTCAGTGATTCGAAATGCAGAAGCAGAAATATTGGCAACTGTTTTTTGGGTTGATTCCATGTTTAGTCAAGTTTAATTGAGTACCCACACAAAATGAGAACACATTTGGACAGTACTCCCCCGGCCTCCAAGAGAAGCGGTTAACATAAACATGCGAGAAGTTTGGTAGTTCTCGTTGGGGTCGAAATTCCCTTGCAAAAGAGACGCAGGATGATGGGGAGGAAGGGACCTCCATTGAATTCCTTTCGGAAGGCATCTCAATTTGCAAGCTTTTTGGTCCCGGTTGGTCAGCTGAGGCTCCTGAACAGCTGCACGGCCAAAGGAGTTACCCCCTCTCGCAGAGGAAAGCCAAGGTCCCCCAATCTTCCCCAGAGAGAACCTGCTGAAACCCAGCAACCTGATCGAACCCGGTAGAACAAAAGACTAGAAATCCATGGTGGTGTTGAGCGTGTTGGGTGCGGAACCCCAAAAGGCCAAAAGAAGATCTGGGATCTGTCATCCGCACAACTGAGCTATGCTGGCCATGGCTCCCTAAGAGAACAGGTGCAACTGAATAGTCTCACTTTCCTGCGTGGATTGGCCAAAAAAAGGTCCGAACTCTGTGTTTACCACTAACATGGTCACCCACCCACCCACCCACCCACCCACCCAACCATCCGTCCATCCGTCCGCCTATCCGTCCGTCCATCGGTCCATGGCGCACAGAGTCCTTGTTGAACCCAACCGGCACTGATTTGTTGGGGGTCTTTCCAGAACTCAAGAACAAAGTCCAGGAGGGTGTCTTTTTGGCAGGGTGCTTTCTTTGTGATGGTGAAGCAGGGATCCTTACATTATACACCTGAACATTGCCTTGTACATGGCGGTGTCCCTTTATTTTGGTGGAAAAAGCCATGTTTCAAATGGGCAAAATGTATCTTTTAAGGAGCCCTGTGAAGGCAACCCAAATGTGGGGCTCCCCTAAAAGACGCACCCATGAACAGAGGGGAGCAACTGGCAGCGAAACGGTGTCCACTTCTTTCGACAGGCCCTTCCGCTCGAGCTGAGCTTCGCTCGAAATGGCGGAAGAGCGCCAAGTAGTCGCCTGACCGCTGGCATCAACGGGTGACTTTCATCGATTGGCCAAAGAATCCAATCTTTTGGTTGCCACCAAAACGGGCTTCCCAAAAACAATCGTTTGCGGGAGAGGGTCTTCGGCGGGATGTGTGGTGCCTGAGAAAGGCACGTATGTCCATCCAGGGCAAGGTTGTCATTTGTGCCTTCGTTTCTGGTTGGCAAACTTGGGTTCCAGACACTGGAATCACTCGGCTCCAGCGTGGGTCGGAGGGGGTTCCGGAAGGGTTCCGGAAGGGTTTTGGGTGTTGGGAATGCCCGAAGGAGCACATTCACAAAGTATGTGATCCTGTCCCAAAGTTGCGACATTTCGAACATTTAGTGTCCTTTTGGAAACTCTCGAAAAGGGTAGCCTTAAAAGACACGCGCCCATGCAGGTTCCTTTTTCCAATGCTGACGCCTTCCCTGGACGTGCACAGAGCCCCTGTCCCATGAAGATACTCTTCCAATACGGGTCAAAAGTGCACTTCCGCATTGGACCTCTGAAAAGGACCTGATTCACAGTAAGATAGCTTTCACTACCCCCAACCGCCCCCCAGCGGAAAATTGGGTGTACAACCATCTTACAGCCACTTAAGGGATGTATACCCATTGATCTGGGTGGCTTGATGCTAGACACCATCCTGAGTCCATGTGCCTGCGCAGGCGAGAATCTCAGGCGCATCTCCATCCTCAATGTCGAGGTTCACCTCGCTCACCTCTTCACCTCACTCCGCGGATTTTGCACCGGATATGACTCGATCATACCTCTGCTTCCCCTTCAGCACACAAACACGCCCACGCACACAGACATCTCCGGGATCCCTAAACAAAACAATGCATACAAAAGGATGTAACATGCGTGGCACAAACAAGACCGCAAACAAGCACGCGCAAAGAAACATGCGAACAAGCACGCGCACAGAAACACCCAAAGACCTATCGGCGCAAACACACAAACACGAAAGCAACAAGCAGAACAAAACTGGAAAGAACACGCACTACTCACAGCACAGCTACACACACACACGAGCAACCTACACACATGCAAATATGCACACCTACACACGAGGCAATGCACGCATATACAAACCCATGAATCCATACACATACACACATGCGCCCACACACACACACACACCCACACACACACACAGAAACAGAGACAGAGACAGAGACAGACACAGACAGAGACACACACACACCCGCGCAAGGGGCCTGCCAGCACCCCCGCATCCCGACGGAAAGAGTACAAGCACCCGAATTGGAACGGCCCTGAGGCCGCTGAAGCAAATTGTGCTTGAATTCATGGCCAAAGTCTACAGACAGGCAACGGACCTGAAAACATCTATTGGTGGATTCCCAAAGCACTTTAAGAACGCCCGATACAAGTTGCTGCAATCTTTGGGTGCATCACTATCCCTAAGTTTATGGACAAATCAGCAATCATTCAACTAGCATTGCATGAATCCATTGGTTGTGGATTCCCCTCTGGATTCCCTCGTCAGTGCTGATGTGCAAAAATTGGGTTCGAGACTGCCCCACTCGATTTCCCTGGTGAGCTGAGGAATTCTCGGTTGGTTTCTGCTCCCCGGCTAAAAGTTTAACTTTTAGTGGTTTAATGTAAAACCCATTCGTTGGGCCAAAAGTTAAGGTCCTAACATCCAAGCAAAATGCACCAACTAATTCATGGGTCACACCTTTGGTGAGCTGCCAATACGACATCCGACTTGAGACTCCGGGCTGGCCATGGCGCTATCCAGCGCCTGGATCGACCCATGAACCTTCTGGCTCTACCAACATGCCCTTCCAGATTGATATGGAGCCAGCCAAAAGCACTGAGTCAGTAACTTGCCAGGTTTCTATGCAAAAAAAAGATCGGGGGCAAAAGGAGCATCTTGCTGCTTGGGTTCCATGTCAATCTGCAGGAGAGTGAGCTTTTTTGTAGCCCGTACAAAAAGAAAGCCCAGTAGACTGAAGTAGTGGAACAATACGACCACTTACTGAGTTGGACTATAGGGTTTTTGGCGCTGTTCACATTTCAAAGGTGTGATTAAATGGACGGCAAGGGAACAAAGCAGAAAGCAAAAGGACTTTGGAAGAAAAGAACTGCGCCGAGACAAACCTACGGCCCCACAACTTGACAGAAAGTGGCATCTTGGAGTTCGAGCTTGGGACAACCCAAGATTCACAGCAAGCGACCTTCATCATGGGATGCCCACTATCTTGGGGGGGAAGGGCACGAATGAAAAAAGGAAACTACCAACGGAATTCCAGGAGTCACCCCCTCCCACACTTCAAAATGCTTAAGGGACCCGGCGGAATATCATTGGCTTTCACGCGTTCTGCCAGGTAAGATCTTTGTACCTTTCGGAAACCTTACCAAGCTGACTAGGGTGCCAAGCCTCAAAAGCAATCTTGTGTGAGCTCACTATGCCAGAGACGCAAACACATCACTCGTAAACACACATGTTATCTTATTTCCATGACTTTGGTTCTAAAGTCCCCACAATCCCCGGTCTAATGTTTTACACCCTTGTGCAACCTTTCAGTTCCTTTTACCCAGCCTTTCCGCCCAGAAACCACTACCCCCAAAGCAAAGGGAAAAACGCCGGGTAGTGGAACCCATCTATTTCTGAGCGGTTTGTTGATCCCTTGCTAAAATCTCAACCTTCCGCAGGGTATGAAACTATCCCAACTCTAAAGTATAAAAGTCTGAAGGCACACTGTGGTGGCATGGTTGCGGGCAATCTCGCTTTGTGCTACCAAAGTGGGGATTTCTTTCCAAGCCTATGCAAGTACATCTTGGGTTTCGGTTGGGAACCTTGTGTGCAAGAGTTTCAATGGGGACCCTTTGGTGGACATCAGAAATCGGCGGAGATTCATGTCCACCATCTTTGAGGTGGTTCCCGATTGAAAGTTCGACCCTTCGAGGTGTTCTCCCTTCCCATCCAATACATGCACCCACGGTACTTCTTCCAGATTCGCCCACTCGGGTGTGTCCTTTTTTTACCCCTGGTGGTGTTCAAGGTGTTCCTTGATGCTTCCCTTTTTAAGCCCTAAACCCCAAAGCCCCAACCAAAAACTCCACCGAGCCCACGCGTCCGAGCCGCCCCTCCCGCCTCCAGCACCTCCACGCCCATGGCGACGGCAGCCAGGCGCCGCTCCAGGGCACGGAGGTCCAAGAGCGCCAGCTCCTGCGATTTGCACGTGCGACGTGCAACCGAAAGAGGCGCATTGTTCGCAAACCCAAGCCTCCATTGGCTTCAGTCCAATGGAACAAAACAAATGTTTCCAGTAGAGAAAACGATTCCCTTTAAAACCAACAGAGGAAGATAACAAACATATTCTTAACCAAATGGAAGCAAGGGATGGTAGGAACAACAAACACCAAGTAAACTATAGGGGTATCCTACGCTAGGGAAATCCGAAGACTTGGGAAATACTCAGAACTCGGCAAAATGGATCAAGTTCACTTGTTTGGTGAATTGTTCCTACCATTCCCCTGTTCAACTGTTCGCCGGAAAGGAATGGGGGACCGTAGTTGTTACAAAAATTCAAGGACCAGCCAGCAGAGCTGTTAGGGTGTTTGGGGCCATTTTCGGGTGTTTGGGGCCATTTCCTGTAGCTGTTCCTGTAACCCTTTGAGTAGAAGAAACCAGCCAAGGCTAGTCATACCCAAACTTGGGGTGGTCTAGGGTGTTGCCCACCCTACAAACTCAGGTGATATGCCACTTACTTGGTGCCCAAATGTGGCGGAGCAAGCAACATGCCATCGGATGCTTCCCTGTTCGAAGTCTTCCCAATAAGTAGAAAGTCCATAATCAAAATGGGCACCACATAAGCCAAGAGTCCAAGTTCCATTAGCAGCGGATTCCAATCCCTCGCTCCCCCCTTGCAGACAGGCTTATCAAGGCCTGGTTAGAACTTTTAGTCTCCCATGATTGTTTCTGTAGAAACATTGTTTGAGCGGGCCCTTTGTATCCCGGCTCCCTTCCTGACCCCCTGCGAACAAATGAAACTGCTTTGCAGCGATCAACAGGCAAACCGGCAAACCCGTGGGGTAGTATGGTGGACGGTTGGCCCATCGCTACCTCCAAGCAAGGAACATCGCAAATTTAAGAGTATTTTGCAACGCTTCCTGCACGTTTAGAGGTGTCTGGAGAAATCAAATAGCTTGATTGGGGACCTTGGCTACATTCTCTAGTGTTGAGCCCGGAAGACACGAGCTTGAGCACTAATCGCGATGACATACACTATTAGTCAACTCAATATTTCCGCTTAATCAACAATAGCGCCATTCCGAAGCGACATTGTCCATGACACCTTCTTCAGGGTGCAGGGTTTTCAGGAACTGAGTTTGCAAAATTTACTCCAGGTGTCCACCATACAGGTCACTCTTTCACTTGATCCTGGATTATCATTAGTATTATTTGTTCAAGTTGACCTTATGATTCTCAGTTTTTCCGCATTCAATTGAACTAATGCATTCCCCCGTTTAATGACTCCAAAGCTGCCAGTGGACCTGGGAAAAATTCGAGTCGAGTCGTATTCGACTTCGCTGAGCTCCCGGCAAGCTCGCCAAAGGACAGCTGCTGCGCTAGATGGGTCTCCACCTGCCGAAGGAAAAGCAAAGTAAACGACCCTAGGTCCTCCAGTTGAGAGGATAGAGTAAGGGTACTCTTTTTTCTGTAGTCTATTTTAGTAGTGGAAGCCTCCCCCAAAAAAGGGTAGAAGGGCATCACTGGGGGACCTAGGACCTGAACTCGACTGAGCCATACTCAAAACCGATCAGTACTAGAATGGTCCAGAACTATGTCAAGAATTTGGTTGGGATTTTCCCTTGTCGGGCCTAAGGCCAATCAGTGGGTCTATGTGACCCGGCTGGGGGGCTTTCCACCAGCGAGATGCTGCGAAGCGCCATGGCACTTTTTCAGAGATGGTCGATGCAGACCTTACTTGCAGCGGACAGGGCAAAAAGTTGACCCAGCCGAAGACACCGCAACGCAACACCACCAAAAGTGGGAACATGGATCTGTATCCACTCACAGAGTTGAAGAAAGCCGAATTAACCTGATCACAAAGCAACACAACGGTACGTGACAAACAAAGCAACAAAGAAACAAACAAACAAGCAACCAACCCAAACAAACATACACACACACGGAAACACAGAAACGCAGCAACACAAAAGCACAGAAACACACAACAAAGAAATAAAGAAAGAAAGAAAAGAAAGAAAGAACAAAAAACAAAGAAAAAAGAAAGAAAGAAAGAAAGAAAGAAATAAAGAAATAAATAAATAAATAAAGAAGGAAAGAAATAAACAAAACATGAATAAAGACATAACAAAATAAAGACATATATAATGAACAAGGAAGGAACGACAAAACAATACGGAAATAAAGAAACAAATAAGTCAAGAACAACTTCAATCAAGACATCAGAAATATGATAAATCACTAAACAACATGTCGCATGTACATGAACACAAACATACATGTAAAACATGGCAAAACCCCCACAAACACACAATCAAACCAAACAACACAACAAACACACAAACACACAAACACACACACACAGACACAGACACAGACACAGACACAGACACAGACACAAACACAGACACACACACACACATCCATGCACACAATACACAAACAAAACCAACCAAAGCAATCAAACAAACCTCACTAAACCAAAAACTAACCCAACTACTAACCAACCAACCAACCAACCAACAAATAAGCAAACAAAAGAAAGCGAAGATACAAACCAATCAACCAAGCAAGCTAGCTAGCTGGCTGGCAGGCCCGGCACCAGGCAAGAGTGCAACCAAGCAAGCAAGCAAAAAGCAAGCAAGCAAGGAGGCAGGCAGGCAGGCAGGCAAGCACTTGCTTGAAACGCATAATGACACAATAACAATAACAATACACGCGGCGAAACACGCACACACACACACACACATCAAACACTAATAAGCACACGAAAACCAACACATGAATACCTAAACAATGAGACATACATATATACACTGATAATAACATTTTTCTGGGCTGAAGACAAAGAAACAACAACAACAAAGAGTGCCACTTCACCAGAGGGAGGCTGCTGGTGTCGTTGCTCAGGAGCCGCACCCCCACCGCGCGCATGCGCGTGAGCCACCAGGGATGCATCCGGAGCTCATCCCTCGGAAGGCAGAGAAGTCACTGGGCCGTCAGATCCCCCGCTACAAGTTTGACTCTTCTTGGTTGCTGTTTGCCCCCCTGCAAAAAGCTTAAGGTTTTGGGGGGGTTAGTGGAAAACATGTTTGTTTCCCAAAAAGTTAAAGACTAAAGATCCAACCCAATAGCAGTCAAGTGTTAGTGGGTTAAATATGGAAACCCGCAGCTAAACCCCAAAAAGCTAAAAAGCTAAGGGGATGGCTCACAACCGCACCCCGTACTTCTTTATCACTTTCAGACACAAGGGAAAATGTTTTTTCAAGAGGGCAACCATTCAATTGTGTTGGGGGTCGGATTCTTTTGAGGCAGTCACAGCTGGTCTTTCCGCGGGGACCCAAGCGAATGGTAGCGAATCAGAGGGGGATATCTGCATATATTTCTGTTCGAGACTGTCCCCTACCGGACCTTACAAACACACCTCCCAAAGAACCCAAGGATTGGGGCGAAGTAAGCTGTGAGGCCCAATTGGCCTTTGTGAAAACGTGTTGCTTCGAACCACCCAGCGCGAAATAAGGGAATCCCTGCTAAGGGAACCCTTTCCCAAACAAATGAGAGCTAAGCCACAGAGGAAATAGAAAATGCTTCAAACCACCCTGCGGGATATGTCATGAAAAACATGACACAACCACACCTCCCCCTCGGGACCGCTCCCCCACGGAACACTCCTAGGTTTACCAAGGCCGTTTAAAGAGAAATAGAGCCGGACATATCCCCGAAACCAAAGGAACCGCTCCATTTTTTGGCAAAGCCCCAAACAAGTAGTGGCTGTGTCTCTTTTGTGGCTCGCTGCTCTGTTCTGAAGGCAAACCAAAGAGAACCAATTTTGCGGATGCTACAATGGGTCAACGTCACCCGTTTTTTCAAAATCGGGGTTTCCTGTTTGAAGCTTGAACCCTTTGTGCTGCAAGGGGAAGCCTCAGGGTTCTATAAGACAAACCGAGGACTTTCTTTCCTCGCAAGTTCTCGACCAAGAAACCAAATGGAACCCAGTTTGTTGCAACGATTTCCGAGACAAGCCATAGAGAGAATGCATGAGGTGTTTTTCGGAGACCTGGAACAGGCCCAGATGACATGTTGCCATCGATGTACCAAAACAAGTCATGTTTTGGGGCTGTACAGGGAAACCGAAGGGTTCCAAAGAGGGAGAAATACAGATCGCCCGATTCTCGGAAGCCCGCCCCCAACCCTCTGTGCGACGCCGCGTTTTTGTCTGTTTCCTCATATGTTTTTGTTAATTTGTTTTCCCTATTTTTCCAGCTCTTTGACTGTTGTCTCGTGTTTTTGTGTTTTTGTCCGTGGCATTTGGAGGCCACACCCCGCCCTTCAAAACACCCCTGCGTGGTTTTCTTCCTCCGCTCCCGGCTCCAAAGGCCAAAGCCCGGCCCAAAACCCGAGGGCCCCGGCGGGGAGCGCGTGGAGAGCTGCCAGTCCACGCGCCAAGGCCCGAAGAGCACCTCGAAGGACCAGCGCCCGGCCTTCCGACTTTCGACGCTTCGAGCTGCGTGACGAGCACGCGAGCGCCGGGGGGAATGGGGGGGGGGGTTCCTGAAGCCCCGAAAAAAAACCGGGGCCCCACGTTTTGACAAACAACAAAAAAAGGGTCTTGGGGCCCCAGGTTGCATGAACCGTTTTGGGGGTTGGTTGCATGAACCAAATGAAGCTTTTTGGGGTTCCTGCAGAAACTAGGTCCTCCAGTATAGAGGATAGCCAACTTTTTTTCAGGATGTCTATTTTAGGGGAACCCTCAACCACAAAAGGGTAAAAGGGCACTGAGGGACCTAGTCAACGAGCTCGGGTGTTGCTTGCATGAACCGTTTGGGGGTTGGGAATGAACCAAAATGAACCTTGGAAGTTCCGGCATAAAGGAATCAGGATGGTGGTGTTGGTCCCCCTCACACCTCACAAGAAACCATGGATGGTGTATGGGGGGGCATGCAACTCATGCCCGGGGTGGTGGGGAATGAACTGTTTACTTTGGGATTCCATAAAGAAAACTACTTTAGGATTCCACAAAGGAAACCCTAGGAATGGTTGTCAACATTGAGTCAATCCAAAGCTACGAACAATGGTGTAAGCCAAATGAACCGAAATTGATCGCCCGCGGGTTTTGGAGGTTGGGCGTGTCCCTTACCGCCTGTGCCTCACTTGTTGGACCAATTAGTCGCTGATGCTTACAAGGGTCCTATGGTTTAAACCTTGTGGCTTGGGGGGGTCATGTTTAGTGGCTTGAACCGGGATTTACCAAACCCCTGGTTGATTTAATGCAGGGATAAATGCCCCTCCAAAGAACCCCTCAAAGCAATGGATAAATCCAACCGGAGGTGTCCATTGGGGAATGGCTTGGAATGGGTTTCCCGAATCGAAGTGTGGATGCCTTTACGAGGATGTAAGGCCATGGATGCATGGATGTACGGGCACGACCCATATGAAGCATCCCTTTAAAGCTTCCAACTACCGGGTCCAAGTAAGGTAGGTCATCCCGAACACTTGCACTTCACATTGGTTCATCCCCAGGACCTCTGTGGATTCCCTGAGTACCAGTAAGTGGAGTCGCGCGCAAGGCGGTGGGAGTGTCGGGAGCGAAGGAACCCAATCGAGTCGACTCGAGTTGAGGGGCTGAAGGCAACAGCACGGGCAAAAGTGGCTGTCCGTTCTTTCTGCAAAGAGTAAAGCCCTTGCGTTTGGATTGTTTGTTCTTCACACCAAGGAAAATGAGGGTTATGACCACACAAATTCGGGGTGACAATATGCACCTTGATCCCCCTTCCAACAACATCTAACAATCATTCAAGTTGAGACGAGGCCTTTGCAAAAGGCTGGTCTTCATAGACCCTCGTGGCAAGTTCCATGACGGTTGGGTAGGTGTTCAACCCTCTAGGGATTGATTCCTGTTCCATTTTTTTCAGCCATCCTTCTTTTCAAAAACCGATCGCCATTCTCCCCAGATTTTGGTGGATTTCTAGAAAGAAGGATCCTTGGGAAGAATGGAAATGGAAGCTACCCCTAGAAGGATATGTAACCAATGGTACCATTTTGGGCAAGGTGAATTCACCTCCCATTTGAGGAAACCTATTTTAGAGGTTGGATTGAATCGGTCCAAATCGTTCACTGAAGAGTACCGAATTTTGGATTTTGACCCCTACAAAACCAAAACATTCAGTACCCCCAGTGAACCCACCCCTAGAAACCCCTAGAAAGCCACCCAAAAACTTCTTCGGCTCGCGCTCGCGCCGCCCCTCCTGCACAAAGGCCTCGAAGGCGCGCAGCGCGTGATCTTCGAAGCCTAAGGCTGGGATCGATCGGCTGACTCGGAAGCCCGTCATTCTCCCGAGCGTTTTTGGGGGAGCTTGGTAAAACACGCTTGGACCCCTCAACATGACAAGGGTGGT